CCGACAAGACCCACCCAAAAGCCGCTCCTGGGTCTCTGAGGGTCAGAACTGTGTGCATGCTCTGAACTCACCCCCCCCCCCCCCCCCCCCCCCCACAACAAACAGACAGTGGTCTTTGCTTTATTGGATCTTGTAAAAAAACATACAGAACTGGTCCAGAACCACAGAAAGACACAAATAGTTTTTAAATTAGAACCCATCAGCTGCAGAACTCAGAGTCCAGATCCTGACCTCAGTTCTGACCCACTTCTTAGGTCTTCACCTCCCTGACAGGACCATCAGCGTGCAGCAGGTTCAGGTGGAGGTTCTGAACCGTCTCTAGGTTCTGCGGGTGAAGTGCTGAGAGTCCCTGAACTCCAGGTAGAGACTGAAGAGCAGGTGCAGGGACTGGATCCTGGTCCCGTGGACAGGAATGTCCAGCAGGCTGCAGATGATGTCGACGTACTGAGACAGACTGCAGTCCAGGCGGGCCGGGGGCAGCTGCATGCGGCCCAGCAGGTCCTCCAGGTCCGTGGGCCACTCCTGCATCAGGCTGTCGATGTCCGGGACGGGTCGCTGGTACCGGACGCTGGCAGGAGGTTTGGACCGGTGCAGAGCGCTGATGCTGTCCACCCAGCTGTCCACGGCCCGAGGGTTGTCCTGAGGACACGCCACGCTCGTCACCTTCTGCAGCTGAGACACAGAACCGGGTCAACATGGACCACAACACAACAGGGCTGTGTGTGTGTGTGTACCTGTGTGTGTATCTGTGCATGTGTGTGTGTGTGTGTGTGTGTGTGTGTGTACTTGTGTGTGTACCTGTGTGTGTACCTGTGTGTGTATCTGTGCATGTGTGTGTGTGTGTGTGTGTACCTGTGTGTGTACTTGTGTGTGTACCTGTGTGTGTACCTGTGTGTGTATCTGTGCATGTGTGTGTGTGTACCTGTGTGTGTGTGTGTTCACCTGTGTGTGTATCTGTGCATGTGTGTGTGTGTACCTGTGTGTGTGTGTACCTGTGTGTGTGTGTACCTGTGTGTGTGTGTACCTGTGTGTTGTGTTCAGGTGCCGAGACCCGATGGGAAACCAGATGATCTGGGCCTAATGGTTCTGGATGAGCCCAGTGTGAAGCAGTCGGACCCCACGGTGCTGTCGCTGTGGCTGTCAGAGGAGACCAAGCAGCACGGAGTCACACAGGTACACACACACACA